CATGAGTCCATCTGGCCCCCTAAAATATATTTACAACATTATTGATTATATTCCCCAGACTGTCTTTTCTATCCCTGAGGCCATATTCTAGTTACCAATTTGTATTGTCTCGTCCCTTCCCCTTCTCCTTCATCCCCACCCCCTCCCAACTAGCAACACTCAGCTTTTCCTCTGTGTCTCTGAGACTATTTCTGTTTACATTTCTCATTTATTCAGTTTTTTAGATTCCACATATAAGTGAGGTCATATGGTATCTGTTTTTCTCTGACTGACTTATTTCATTTAGCATAATGTTCTCTAGGTCCATCCATATCGTTGCAAATGGTACGATTTCCTTCTTCTTTATAGCTGAGTAATACTCCATTGTGTAAATGTACCATAGTTTCTTAATCCAGTCGTCTACCGATGGGCATTTCGGTTGTCGCCAAGCCTTGGCTATTGTAAATAGTGCCGCAATGAACATAGGGGTGCATATATTTTTTGGAATTAATGTCTTGGGTTTTTCTGGGTAAATACTTAAGAGTGGAATTGCTGGATCATAAGGTAGTTCCGTTTCCAGTTTTTTGAGATACCTCCATACTGATTTCCATAGTGGCTGCACCAGTCTGCAGTCCCGCCAAGAGTGCAGCAGGGTTCCCTTTTCCCCACAGCCTCGCCAGCGTGTGTTGTTTGTTGATTTATTGATGATAGCCATTCTGACCAGCGTGAAGTGGTATGTCATTGTGGTTTTTATTTGCATCTCTCTAATGATTGGTGAGGTTGAGCATTTTTTCATATGCCTGTCGGCTATCTGTATGTCCTCTTTAGAGAAATGTCTCTTCATAGCTTCTGCCCATTAAAAAAAAAACAAAAACAGAAACAAAAACAACAAAGAGTATGTGCAAATCCTGATGTATTCTGCAAAATCACCCCTAAAAAGCTGTTTAACATTTTATCCCCACCAACTGTGTTTAAGAGTGCCTGTTTTCCCTACCCCAACTGGGTATTATCTACTTTTAAACTTTTGCCAATTATGTTGGGCAAATATTATTATTCTAATATGCATTTCTGGATTAGTATTATTATTTTCTGATGATTCCTTATCTTGAATATCATTTATTTTTCTAAATGGACTGGCTGTTGTAATTATTTTATCCTGTAATTTGCTAATTCATATTCTCATTCATTTTTTACTTGAATTCTTAATCCTTTTCTGGTTGGTTTGTGGCGTTTCTTTGTTTATTTGGGATATTAACCTACCATATGTAGTTAATAATTTGTTACTTAATTTAATTTTCTGTCATCCATCATATAGAAATTTCCAGTGTTTATATAATAAATATTTGTCAGACTTTATCTTCATGGCATTTTGATTTTTGTCACGTATGAAGGTTTCTCCATTCCAGGATTGGAGGATATTCTTTCGTATCTTCTTCTAGTACTTTGTATTGTCTTATTTTTAACATTTAGAGTTTTTCATAATCTGACAGGATTTTTGTACTTGTGTGTATAGTGTGAATGGGAAACTATTTTTATTTCTGAAAGGAGAGCTAACTTTTAACCTCATTTACCTCATTCATCCTTCTCCCATTAATTTTATATGACAACTTTATAACAAATAAAAATTTCAGTTGTACAATGAGTCTTTTTGAACTTCTCTGTTTGGTTAATCTTTTGATCTGTTTCTGAAACAATACTACATTATAAATCACTGTGACATATTCTTTTATCTGCTAGGATAGGGCAAGTCTGCTTCATCTGTTTATTTAGTTTTCCAGGAGACCTTGAAGATCAGCTAGTCTGGTTCCACTAAAAGTGTTGTTAGGATTTTGACTGGGATTATGATGTTAAATTTAGAGATTAATCTGAGGGGACTGGGTGTTGATGTTATTTGAATTTAAAAAAACAAGTCTAGAAGTAAGTTAATTCATACTAACACATATACTTTTTTCCCACTTTAAAACCTTCCATATGCTTTCCTCCATGAATTACTAGTGTTTCAAGGCTGACAAAGGTCTGAATGTTTTGATAGTTTTTTTTTGACATTAAGGAAGCATCCTTTTCACTTAGTTTATTAAGAGTTTTATTTGTTATGTGGAAATGTTATTGACTTTCATTAAATGTGTGTATCTATTATAGCTATTTTTTCCTTTGACTCATCACTATGGTGATATATATTACTAGTCTTCCTATCTCGAATCATACTTGGGCGTTTTTCAAATGAGCCATACTTGACTAAGGTCAAGTATTTTAAATTCCTATTAGTTTTAGTGTGCTAAACTTTTATTAAGGAGTTATTTCAGTTGTCTATTGCAGCATGACACACCACCCCCGACTTAGTGGCTTCACAACAATTTATTATTATTTTTCATGGTTTCATGAGTTGACTAGTCTCAGCTGGACAGTTTTGGCTCAGGGTCCGGTGTGGTTGCTATGAAGTATTGGCTGGAACTGCCGTCATTTGAAAATTTGACTGCTTGACACCCAGGATGGTTTTCTTCTACAGCTGGCAGTCGATGTTGGCTGTTGGCTGGGAGACCAGCTGGGATTGTTGACTTGAACACTTATATGTTGCCTCTCCGTGTGGGCTTGGGCTGCTCACACATGATGGCTGGGCTCAGGATAGTGTGCTAAGGACAAGCGGTCCAAGAAAGCCGGGAGGAAGCTACGCGACTTCTCAGGACCTCGCCTCGAAGTCTCAGGAAGTCACTCCCATTGTGTTCCACGGGTGAACCAGGTTATGGAGTCCAGCCCACATTCCAGGGGAGGAGAACTGCATCCCAACTGTTGATGTACAAAGCTGCGACAGGGAGGGTAGGGTGTTCCGGGGACAGTCAGTTCTTATAAACATGTCTAGCCGAGAGACTAAGAGGCAGCCCCTTCAAATTCTTAGAAACTTTTATTTTAAATCTGAGAGGTTCTTTAAAGGTGTGCCCTTAAATCTTCCTGAAGTATCCTCAAAGAGTTCCCTTGACTTCATGTTTGACTAAGAGTATTTTGCTGACGTCCTGAGTCCTTCCTATTTTTTCTAAATTCTACTCAAAACCTGAACACTTCTCTTTTATAGTCATAGTTCATCTCTCTCTACCCATACCTTGTCATATGCATCTAAAGGAAACCTGTTGTCACTCTGATTAGGTGCGTTTTCTATTTTCCATGTTAGGACAAGCAACAGTGTTACCCAGTTTCTGCCAGTATATGACATGGATTGCCTTTTCTCTAGCCTCCAGTTGGTTTCCTCACTGCGCTTGCAGTCATCACTGACAATCTCCTTAAGACCTTTCCTGCATTCACCTGCTACCCTGCCCTCAAGCCAGTGCTATGCTGTAGGGTTTTGTTTTGATAGCGCCCTGTTTTCACTTGCCAATTTCTGTTCTGGTTATGTCAATATATGAAAATGTAATGGCCTAAAACAAATTGGTATATTATTTTGCTTATAGTTTTGTGGGCCAGGAATTCAGGGGAAGATTCAACTGGATAGCTATCTCTTTTTCACATGACACAGTTTCTTCACATCAGCACCTTGTGACGTGGCACTGCTTGGCACCTCTCTCTCTCTCTCTCTCTCTCTCTCTCACAATCCCTCCTTCCTTCATTGTCTCATCCTCCAGAGCCTCTGCATTTGGTGGTCTCAGGAGACTCACGCTTCTTTCCTGACAACCAACTTCCAAAAGACAGGAAGTTGAAACTGCCAGGCAGGAAGTAGAAACTGCCTAGAGCTAGCAGAGTGTTACTTCTGCCATAATTTACTCATCAGTGCTGTGTGAGGGCCAACCCAGATTCAAAGTGGGTAGAGAAATAGACTCTTCTCTTGAAATAGACCGGGAGCAGCAGGTCCGGTTGTAGAAGGGCCTATGAACTGGGAGATGTTGTCACAGCCATCTTTGGAAGATACAGTCTGCCACGTGGTTTTTAGAAATTATTTTAAGTTTGATTTGTCAACACTGTGTATGAGTAGGCACATGTGCTATGTTATCAGCCATAGCTATCAGGAATATATTAACTTTGTAAAATATTTGAATTAGGACGCTTTCCTTCATTTTTCTTTGTCAGGATTAATTCAAGTCGATTAGAATCACATGTTTGTCTAAAGTTGGAAAGAACTCTTTCATAAAACCATCTGAATTATCTATATGAGGAAGTTTAAGATTTTGACTTAGTCAAATATATTGGTCTTTTCTATTGATTTCTTTTATATTTATATATATGTGTGTTTAGAAAGCCCTTCCCGAATTTGAGAACATTTGAATATTTATCCACAGCTTCTGTGTGTTTGGTTTTATCTGATATATATAATTCTTTAATTCATCTAGAATTCTGTAGATGAAAATATAGCACCCTTTCCCCCACCCCGATTGTTAACTAGGTAGGTGATCACCCATCCATTCCCATTCATTTTGTGCGATGTTATATGTTCTAGAATCTGTTTCTGGGCTTTTGTTCTCTTCTATTAATATGTAAATTCTTTTTTCCATACTATGTTTTTAATTATTGTAACTCTCCCAAGCATTTTAAGATTGTGAAAATCATTAAATGTTCATACCTATAAAATGTGAGCGAATGTCACCTGACCCCACTAAGGATGTATGCCTGTAGACTATTGAGGACAAGTTTTTAAAAATCTAAGAATTTGTTTAATTTATATTTTAGCCAAATATTTTTGTGCTAAGTTTTGTTTTCTAGAAAGAAGGAGGAATAAATAGAATAAAAATACTCACAGTTTTCTTCTTGTGAGCATGACTTTCTGATACATATTTGGTGTATGGAGGTCTTTCAGAAGGAAAAAATGAATGAAGGCAATAATTGAATGCATTTACCATTGAAGATGGTACAAAATTCAAGTAAAATGAACTCAAAACTAGTAGAGTTTTTCTAATTTATTGAAGAAAGCTATTTGTGGAGTAGATCTAGTATATTTAATTTTCAAACCATATCAAATAGTTAATAAATTACTTTAAAATGTATTTTTTAACAAAATGAATCTTTTATTTTCACTAATCTAGCTTATTTTTGTTTTCCAGATATTGTTTTGTGTTTGCTTTGGGATACCTCATAGTGTGCCAAATTACTAGAGTCTATATCTTTGATTATGGACAATATTCTGCTGATTTTTCAGGGTAAGATAAAAACTTTGATTTAGTAGCCTGTTTTTTTCTATTCTAATGTGTTGGTTAAAGGACAAACTGTAGTCCCATTTAGTAGTTCAAATGAAAAGCTATTACTAAACATATTAGTTGAAAATTCCTTTACGATTTTAGAATTTTTCTTCTTGTAAAGTGGTCTTTTATAGTGTTATATAAGTTACCAAAATAACCTATCCTTTTCAATTGACCTTAAAATTTTCTAAATACTATATAGCAATTAAATTTGTTATGTGTCATTCTGATATTGAAAGCATTTTCTAATGCCAATAGAAGTTTCTGCAATTGTTTATAATTCTCAGCCCCCCTTGAACCTGCATCCTTGCTACCTGTTTCTTTCTTTCTTTGTTCTCCTGAGTCCCTTTTTTTTACCTTCACTCAATGACTTCTCTATAAGATCTGATTGCCTGTTCTTGCTTCTAGCGCCCCATGGGACTTTCTTTGGACCACAGGTCATTGGTCTTGCTTTATCAGTCTGAGTTTCCTACAGAAGACATTTGAGCCTGTATTTTACTTCTATGCAGTTTACTTTCATGGACTGTTCTACATTCTTACACCTAGTATTCAACCGAGTAGTGGAAATACTCTGCTTTTGTTTCTTCAAAGGGGATTTAGCCCCTCTGTGGTATTCTTTGCCTGTAACAAAACTGATTGAATGCCTGTGATGAGACAAATTTAGTCCAGGTCCTTAAGAACTGACTTGTTCACCATCTTTATAAAGGGACACCTGCTAACACTTTCTTACCAGATGGGGACGTTGAAAATAAACATTTATATTCTTTATGTGAAGCCTGACAGCTTTCTCTGTTGGAACAAGATACAGTAGACTTGCTTTTAAGTCACTCTGAGTCATTTGGACAGCATAAACAATGACCAGTAAATCCAATTTAAGGATAACTAAAGTGGGAAAAATGAAACAAAACAAATCATGGCATCTATGAAAAAAAATATTGTTCAACAATAGAAATGAACCCAAGATATATGAGCTTAGAGAAAAATCACTGCTTTGGAACAAGAGGGTTTTAGAAGATGAAATTTCTTTTTCTCCATAATGAGATTTAAATAGATTTTACTTTTATTAAACAGATTTTAAAAATAGGCTTGGATGAAAGGCGACTACACGCAAAAGAACAACAAAACCAAGCTAAAACAAAACTGACTCAAGACACTTAAAAAAGTAGATATTCAAGTTAGCAATATTTTGAATAGAACTGAGAAACACTGGAATTCAGGAAAAGAGAATAGATTCTGGTGATCTAACTTATAAATAATAGGTATTGTTGAAGAAAGTGAGCTAATGGACAGAATCAATAACTATTTTGGGCCACTGTGAAAATCTTAGTGAACTTGACCAAGTAACCCAGGAAACATGTTGTCATCATAGTATAATGAAAGTCGGAACTAATTGTGTTTGTTTCAAAGTATCACAGTCACTTAGGAAATTCAGTTCTGAGAACAGCGACTGTACCAGTCTTGTTCAACACGGTATCCGTGGAGTGACATTACATAGATACTCACTGAGTCAATGCTACTACTTCAGTAAAGGAGAAAATAGAAAATGCAGCGAGAAAAATGGAGAAAAATAAACACAGTATATTAAAACCTGAGCAACGTGGCTGAGGCTGCACTGTCAAAGGGCTAAGTTCATAGCTTTGAATATTTGCTTTCTAATAAATGAGAACTAAATTGAGCATTTGGTATAAAATAGAAACAAAAGGAATACTCTTGACTAATTGAGTCTATGCATGTCAATTACAGAGATGTTAACATTAACAGCTAATGTTGACAATACTGTAAGATCATGAATGTTCAGGCTGACTTGGTGTCCTAGGACTGACTGACTGCAGACAAACACCAGAGGCGCTGAGCAGATGAGAGGCCAGCCGCCAATCTTGCTTCAGCCACATCTGCTCTCTATGTCTCTCATTTATGTTTTGGGATTCCACATAATATTTTATTTAAAACTACCGTGCTGCTTATATCTATAAATCGCCAGGTTTACAAAGGACTTTAACATGGCTGAATTGAAATTTTTAATAACGATGGGCGCGAGGACAAATTCATGGGACGCAGGTTTGCTGGACCCTCAGCTCCTCCTTTGGTTGGATCTTAGTCATTAACCTTTCTTAAGTCCCTTATCTGCAACGCTGAACTCTTGTTGCTCTCTCGCGAGGGATTGGCTGGCTACTATTAAAACCACAAATGATGTCCGTGTCTTTACATTATAAAAATGTGTGTATTACAGGGCAATGAGAAGGGAGCTGGTGTTCCACAGAATCACTTAGGGAACCAGGCTCCTTCTTTCTTGGGGCTCCACCTCCTTCAGGGTCTCTGGAATCCTCTTGATGGGGGCATGTTGGGCAGTAAGTGGGAGCAGGCAGGGCGTGCCCCTCACCACTTCTCATATTCCATTGGAAAGACCATTGACGTGACCCCACAAATTAGGATTGTTTACAGTAAGAGCAAAATGCATGTTCAAACAAACAGCTTTAATGATATGGCTTTAAGTATTTTGCTGAAATTTTTAAATTTCACCAAAATATGATCTTAAATATTTAAGTATGTGGGAAAAACAACATAGCATTTTAAAGATGGACAACTGGATAGAGAACTTCACATGTTTAATGTGTAATTTTTAATCCATTTGAAGAAAACATTTGAAGTGATAAAGATTAGGCAGCGGCGAATTAGCTGAAAGAGGCCATCCCGGCAGAACTAAGTTGAAGGACCCCTTTTTTAATGGACACAGGAGAGAAGAAAAGCCACCTAGACTCAGGCTGTCCCCTTAATTAAGTATTTAGGCATTTAGAAGCTTGAGTGTGTTATAGCACGTAAGCAGAAAAGATCCTAATTAGGGTAACATAATAGCTATTCCAAATGTTGGCTTCTGAAGAAGGTAGAACTGAATAAAGTCACCCATCCTTGGTGCTACGCTGTCCTGCAGCCCAGAAGCTGAAGCACAGAAAGCAAGGCAGTCTTACTTGCACGAGGCCTGGAAAACCGAGTGTGTGTGTGTGTGTGTGTGTGTGTGTGTGTGTGTGTGTGTGTGTGTGTGTGTCTGTGTATTTAGGTTCAAGATACATCTAAAATATTGATTAGTTTAAAGGGACTTGCCTCTTAATAGAAGTTTGTGTTTTCTAAAATGGTTGAAAAGCTACTGAGGTTGTTAGTTTTTAGAAAGTAGATACAGGAGAAGTATGAAGCAATTAAACATCTTGCCTTTATGTCAGCAATAATCAGTTAGAAAATATAATAGAAAAAGGATCCTAGTTTCAAAAGCAATAAAAATCATGAAATATCTAGGAATGCATGTGACGAGAAATGTATAGGACCTCTGTGTTGAAAACTATGCATCTTCACTGTAGGATATAAAAGAAGACTAAGTAGAGAAACTTCTTGTTTACTCAGCTAGTAAAATTCAATATTGTAAAGATGGAACTTCCTGTCAAGTTCATCTGTAGGTGTAATGCAGTTCAAGTTGGGATTTGAAGAAAATCGGATAAGTTGAAGTGCTTGAGCATAGCAAATTCAGTATAAAAACATATGTACACTGTAAAGCAGCAGTCATTTAAATACGATAGGAATGACATGGGAATAGACAGATCAAGGAAGCTGGGGTAAAGAAACAGACCCGTGCATCTGAGGAGTAAATGGACAGAATACAAGTGGTGGGGTTATTGAATAGTAGGGAAAGACCCTCTCCATTTTTCAGCAAAGCGTATTGCGACAGAAAAAGACGAATGCTTGCCTCCTATGTAGGTAGGTGACTTGTAGATGGAAGTAAGAACAGATTTTTTAGCCTGAAGGTAATGAGTTCTGATTGGACTATGTTGATTTTTGTGATGCCAACAGGATAGCGTAATGCATCCACCAAAATAGGTATGTGTGGCAATAGTTTTTTATTCAAGTCAGGAATATACTTAAAGCTAAGCAGACTGTATCAGACTCTGAGTAAATGTTTTATTCCTCATTACTTTTGTGTGTTCATTCAGCTAAGATACCCTGAGCATGTGCTGTGCCTTAGCTCAGGGCCACGTGCTTTGGGAGGCGACAGTCCTGTCAGGCAGAAGAGGGGACAGGCCATTTGCTCTGAAAGCTACAGGTGTGGCTGTCACGTTCACTCCTTTTAGAAAGCCTTGTTAAGCCGAGTCTGAGTGTAGACATCTGCGTGCTCTATGACGCGAGTCCTAGGAGGCCTTCCTCCTCCTCTCCCACTGTGCCCAGTGACCGTGTTGTAAGTAGGGTTGAGGTAAATTTTTCAACTGCTAAACCCTGGGGTTCCATTTATCCTGTTTGATGCTGTGGGCGTCCCCCGGCACTTTGCCCTACCTTTGGTTAGAGGGAACATTCTGTGTAGCGGCTACCAGCGTAGTTCAGGTACACAGGCGTGGCTGTCTATTCATGGCTTATTTGGTCGGTTCCCACCCCACCTGAGCCATGTCTCCTGATTTATGTCCATTCGCCAAGCCGTGTGTTAGAATGATTTTGTCAGAAATCTGCAGTGGTTCCTTAAGACTCTGAAAGGCTGGTAACGGGCCTTCACAGCCCTCCACAGAGCATGCCCTGCGCAGCCTCTCCGCCCTGACTCGCCCGTTCTGCAGTCGTCGGAGGCTGCAGCCGCATGTACCTGCTTTCACACCTTTGTACCTGTGCCCACCCTATTCTCTCTGCTCAGAACACTTCCCAATCACATATCCAATCCTCCCTGATCTTAAAGGCCCAGGTGAAACGACTCCTGTTTGGGGTCTTCTCCCCTCGATTTCTCCGTTTGAAGTTCCCTCTCCTCTCTCTACACATTTCTTCAAATAGCTCATTTGGCTCTTATTACTTTTTTGTATAGTTATTCACATACCTGTTTATCTCCTGTTTTAGAGAGAAAGTTTCTTCAGAGACAGTACTTTACAATTAATTATTGTATCCCTTCAGTTCCTTATGCTGTGTAGCAATTCCCGTATTTACTAAATGAAGATTTTATTAAATATCTGCTGTGTCTCAGATACTGTTCAAAGTATCTGTCGTACTGCTTTTAGTTAATCCACGCAGTGGCATTGTTATCCCATTTTATAGATCATAATCTTTTGGCGGGGGGTTAAGTAGGCTCCCAGTTTTCCACAATGCGTAAGTAGTGGGGTCAGGATTTCAGCTGAGTTTTCTGACTCATGTGTCCAGCTGCCTGTTCGCCACACCTCCACTCACTTGTCTAATAGGCATCATGCCCTAAACATGCCTGAAACTGGGTTCCTGATTTCCTTCCCCGTTCCTCCTGCATCCCTTCTCAGTCAGCTCCATCCTCCTAGTTAGTTGCTCTGGTCAAGAAGCTTGGTGGCATCACGTCTCAAACCCTGCATTGAATCCATTGTGAAATCGTCATCCAGTCCTGTTGGTTTTACCTTCAGAAGGTAGCTCGACTGCACTGCAGACCTCCTGAGCCCTCACTCCCCTCCTGCCCGCTTATCCCCACCCGTTGGCACCCCACAGGCTTTTCAACCCAGCGCTAGACTATGTGCCTTTAAAACCAAGTCACTTCTCTGCCTAAAACCCTCAAGTGTTTTAACAGCACCCTACACAGGCCCGTTAGATCTGACCTCCTGCTACCTGCCGTCACCTGCTGTTTCTGTCCTTCTGACTCACCTGCCCCGTTACCAGGCTTCCAGTGTGCCAGTCACACTTCTGCTTGAGGGCTGCTGCACTTGCGTTTCTGTCTTCCTGCGGCGTTCTTACCCCTGAGTCCACATGGCTCTCGCCCTGACTTCCGTGCTCTGCGTCCATGTCACCTTGTGGGTGAGGCCCGTTCTCACCCACACCCTGGCACTCCCTCTCTCCCCACCCTGCTTCACTCTGTTCAGCATGAACAGCATCTGGCATACAATACACTTACATGTTCATTCATTTATTACCTACCTGTCTCCAATACTATGTAAATCCCGTGACACTGAGAACTCTGTCTTGTTCAGGGCTGTATCTGTGGCCCCCGGTGCACTGTAGGTGCTCCTCAAATCCGGTTTTCTGAATGAGGAGTAAAGTGAGTGAATGAGTGGGTGGCTCGGAAGCAACCGCCTTTTCCATTATCCCTCACTGCAGACTCACTGGGCGTTAGGCACGTGGGGTTGGTTTGGCTTCACTGGATTTCGTTGTGTGTGGAGGCAGGAGCACTTAGAGGTGACTGGGGGTGGGCCATCAAGAGTTGGCCTCCGTTGTCACGTAACTTGGACCCTGGCGGGTAGCCTGACCTCTTACCTAGTGGGTGCTCGTAGTTGCTTTAGAGCAGGAATATACAGGTACCATTCGAGTTGAGCAGTGAGATAATGGAGCAATGGAGAAGGTGGGTTTTTTCCCCATTCATTGTTTAACTACAGTTGAGTTTTACTGTGTGATAGAGCTAAATACTATTATTCTCATTCTTTGTAGAGAAAAAGAAGGCATGTAAATTTTTTTAACTTTTACACTTTTTTTTTTAATGTCGAGAAGTCTAGAGTCTCTTAGTATTTTAGAGCATATGGGTGTTTTTTATATGACCCGATACCGTGTCATGAGTTAAAGTATTAATTTTGAACAGTTAGACCCGTATTTTCCCACATTCCTAGCGGAGTGCTAGTGGGAGGAAACAGCTAAGTCTAGTGACGTCAGCATGGAGGAGGCACAGTGGCTCCACCTGCAGGAGGTTCTAGCCCTCTGCCTCCCTCCCTCCTCCATCTCTAGCCTGCACCCTGCACAATTGGGAGGGTTTTTCAGATTCACGTCAAGTTATCCCAGACATTCTAGGACCCGGAAGCAATTAGTTATTGGTAGCTCCACTAGATACAAAGTCAACAGGTAGTTAAAATGTCAGTTCAGGTGTAAGTGAGATAATTGTGTGAGTCACTCTGATTGTCACCGAAATAGGTATTTATGAACAAAGTGCACTTGTTAGGAAAATCCACTGCAATTAACTTCTTGTGAACAGTGGGCTCATTTTCACTTAGAAGAGTTTTCTCCACATAGTAGGTTCTGCTCTATTGGGTTGAGGATTGTCCCAACTTTCCATCGCTCTCCTGTCTCCTGCTCATGCCCAGAGCGATCCTGCGTTCTCCACACGCACAGAATAGAAATCCCACGGGGCCGGAGCACCAGTGGGCACCGTGGGGTCATGCCCTCAAATCGCACGCACAGCGTTTTGGGAATGTCTTATACACGTACCTAACGGTTTGGTGTGTCACTAAGTTGATAAAATAAATTTAACAATTATTTTATCCGTTGTTTTTATTATGTTTTAAGGTGACGTGGGAACTAGAATTTAGAACTGAAGGGTATTTTATAATTCATTGGTGAACTAAATAATGAAGAGAATTAAGGCAGGGTGAGAAAATGATTCTTTTCCCCCAGGGAAATGAAAATTTAGGGCATTTTTATAAACCTCAAAAGCATGTAAAATACCTTGCCAAGTTAAACCTGGCAGCTGGGTGTTCAGAGCAGCCTGGGGGGTGGGGGGACACAGAGGAGTAATTTCCTGAGAGTGAGTGGTGTGGAGGTAAGAACTGACTTGGAAGGAAACCCAAGAGGAATCTCCTCCCTTACATACTTGGAGTTTCATTGTGAGCATCACTGGACAGTTTTTATGAGATCTCGCCTTCTAGTTGAGGACAATGAGCTGTAAGATCTCAAGGGCCCGGGTCCGCCCATCTAATTGCCACAGGTAGGAACGTTTACAAGCAACCCTTGTTGGCGTTGCTGACATTGTGAGAAATCATCTTTCTTGACGTGTTTCAAGGGTTAGGAGACATTTTGGTCTTGTCCAAAAACATCCACGAGGCATTTGGTCCACACCAAAAGGTCCTTGAGATTTAGTCCTGTCAAAAACATCCACCCTGAGAAAACACCCCTGGGTTCAGATAGCCCATAAGGCTTGTTTCTACTTTTGGTTGACATGATTAACATATAAAAAAATACCATCATGTTTTAGTGGTGCAATAATTGTGGTTTTATTGCCAATAATGGCCCTCCTTGCCTCTGCAGCCTAACTGGTCATGGCAGATGGGGTCAGGTAGATGGGTCAACATGGACCAGATGCCTCTATGGACATTTTGGACAGAACTGAATATCAAGTACCAAATTTCACGGACCTTTAGGCATGGACCAAATCTCTCTGTGGATATTTTAGATGTCCTGCAAGGTTTAAAGATGCTGGTGTTTTGCCAAAGTTGGCAGTGGCCACCTACCAGTCTTGTGCTCCGAGCAGCGGGGCAGCTGGAAGACGCAGGTCGGACTAGAATAGACGTGGGGCCTGAGCCCCCCCACCGTTCCCTGGCTGTGCAGTGGGGTGACTGTATACTCCAGGCAGAGAGTTCACATCCTACCTGCCAGCGAAACGCCATTTCCTGGTTTTACTGAAATTCCAAAAATATAAATAAATAACTTATGGTTAACTGGTGTTTAATACTAATGTCTGTAAGCGAATGTAATAGTTAAAGGATGAAAATGTATCCTGGCGGTTTTCTTATGTAGGCCTATTTATTTTTCCAAGTTATCTATTCAATTAGAGATGATACAATATGGAAAAATATTGTCATTTTCTTACTTGGAACATGATTTTGAAGTCCTCTTTCCTTTGGAGGGTGCCGCGGTTTGCCTCCTGTCTCCAGGGCATCTGTACCAGGTGTTCACCCCTGCAGGCCTGGCTCCTAGAATAGGGGATGGACACTGTGCTTTCTCTTCGTCCTCCATTTCACCTCTTCTGTTTTGTTCCACATTTCTCACCCGAACTCCTTTAATATTTTACCCATTCCCCTTACCCCAGGCAACTTACTTTCCATCTTTAAGTTCAGCCTCGAGGTAAACAGCAGCATGGTATGTTGGAAAAACGCTGAGACGGAATCGGGAGCTGGGTCGGGTCTGATGCCGGCGTGGTCCTCTCTCCTCCGGCCTCCTGGCATCATGCACGTGCTGCTGCTCACACGTGACTGCTTTTCGAGGCTGAGCTTTTCCCTTTTGCTTTGTTAAAGCAAGGCCCAGATTCCCTCTCTCCTGTGCCTTCTCCAAACACAGCAGCCCCTGATTTACCTCTAAAAATCCCTCGGAGGTTTTTTTATGTTAAAAAATTTCAAGATTTTGTAGTTATATAAGCAGAACAAACTCTTTTTCATGCTTCACAAGTATTATTTTAAATATACTCTTTTAAAATATTTGTTTTTTATTTTTTCACAGCCCAATGATGATAATTACCCAGAAGATTACTAGTTTGGCTTATGAAATTCATGATGGTAAGAATTTAGAAATTAATTTGTCATCACTGAAAGAAAGTCTATTCAGATGATCTCCTGTTTGAGATATTATCATAACTTTCTGTTCTTTACGAGAGGAAGGAAATGGATGGAAATAAGATAAGACAGGGAAAAATAAATATTTAACTCTGCTTAGGGTTATTAAAGTGTGTTTTTCTTCAGTGTTTTATCTTAATTTTGCATTCAAGGCAGTGACAAAAACAAAGTAAAATAATGTAATTCAGATGTATGGCTCCTATTAGTGACAAGTTAGAATACAAATTTGGTCTAAATCAAGTTTTATTAATTTCTGCTTCATCTCTGTTACATTTTTATTAAAATTGGCATGTTTTTTTCCTTTGCCCCCATCCCTTACACACACACACACACACACACACACACACACACACACACATTTTTAGTATAAGTATTTTTATATATTTTATTTATAAATATTCATATTTTACATCTTCAGCAAATGGACACCTTGCAATAGAAAATGCTCGCCGTCAGGACTTTGAGTCATAAGAGTGAGACTCCAGTTTCTTCTAAGACCAAAGGGGCCTCCTTCTTAGAACAGCCGTTTGCAGTAGCCTAGGGAGCTTTTTAGGTGGGTTTTTTTAGCCCCACTGTATATATCACCCATCCTGTGCTCTCTGCTAGGGAAGACCTACAGATATGTTTTAGGTGTGTTGTTTGCTTTTTAATTTTTAAGCCCACCTTTGGTCTTTAAATTGGGTTTAGGATCTGGAAAGTTGATATGTAATCGTAATAATATCCTTCCATTTGGGGCTTAAAGGTAAACAGATGAAGATGGTACATGAGTCCAGTTCTCACTTACGAGAGTCACGTAGGAGGAAGACAGTCATGCCTTCCATAGTACTGATGGTAGTCATTTAAATCATCCAATAATAGAACACATTTAATGCCCATTTTTACAAAGTCATAGTATTTACTATTATGTATGCTAGCTTTGGGGAATTTTTAAATGAAATAATAATTTCCTCTTGAGAAGAGTGAAATAGTTCCCTGAGGTGTTATCCATCTTCAACAGACCTAGACATGTTGGCTTACACGATGGTTATCTTATACAGAAGTAGGCATGTTCAATTATACAATAGTCCTTTAATGTGATTGAGCCTGTGTTGGCAATGAGAAAGGAAGGAGCCAATTATACCAAATATTATACCAAAATGGGGATTATAGCATGAACTTGAAATGAGAAAAGTGATGGAAGTGTTACTGGGGGGAAAAACGCCATTCTTTTCTTTGGAGAAATCATTGTTGATAAGAGTACTTATTTTTATTTCTCAGGGATGTTTCGAAAGGATGAAGAGCTGACTCCATCCCAGAGAGATTTAGCTGTAAGGTACGTGCCTTTGAATTGCGTCCTGCGTGATTTCTGCTATCTCTCCCGGGACACACATTACTCATGGCCAGGCAGACTTGTCCTTCTGGAGGTACTTGCTTCATGAGAGCCAAACCTTCCCCCCTCTGCACACCTCCCTGACACCAAATCTGGCGAGGCTAAGCTAAGCGTCCCTTCTAAGGCTCCCACAGCACCTTGGCTAATCATCATACAGCATGCACCGCCTATGTACCAGGAGGCTGTCTGCTAAGTTTCCTGTCCCTCCTCTGAGGCTCTGAGTTCCCTGAAGACAGGACGATCATATCGTCTCCATGTCTGCCATGTAGTAATTAAGGGGAATAATCGCAGCTACCATTTAGAGACCAATAACTTGATGGCAGGTAGTGGGCTAAGCTTGTAATATGTTAACATAGCGCACTGATGCCATGTTTTCAAATAATGAAGAGCTAGTAAGATACTCTCCCTCTTATCTGAGGAGCTCATCCTAGGGTAGGCTTCTACTTCATTTATGATAGATAGCTGTTCACTAATCTAAGGAATAGCTTACTGTCTTGGCAGGATCTATCTTAATTTACTATAATTAAAGACCAAATACACGTTTTACTCAAAAAACTTTTTATGAAGCACCTTGTTTCCTGAGAATCGAGAACCAATTAATTCATGGCTGTCGGAAGAATGAGATTAAGTTTGTGATAGTAGACAGACCATACCGAGTGTTCACCTTTGATCCCAGGTAGCATGTCTTGAGGGTCTTCTTATATGTTCCCCATCTTTAAAATTATTCTATTTTGGTATTCTCTACAGTCAGTCATTACATGCCAAGAAATAGACACTTGAATATACTGAGTTGATGAGAGATTCCTTTGATCCGGGTCCTGTAGTCTTCAAAGGCCTTGGTCCATCCCAGTGACCACTCACCATCAATAGACACTTAGCTGCCATCTTCCCTTTGCCTCTCATGCACTAGTTGACAGATCCGGAACCTGCTTAAATCAGCTCTCCACCTACCTGGACAGTGGAAGGAAGCAGAGTGGAAAAACAGCCAGTCTTGCTGATTGGACTCATTTTGAATTTGTTACCCCAACTTAAAAATTATGGGCCTTAGTAGTGCCAACAATTCTACCGCATTTCCTCAGTCCACTCATTTCCCACTTTCTTAGAAGATTGTATATTCGCCTTTCTCCTCAAACTTTGAACACTCCCTCCTTTATACTCACTTAGGATGGTAGCAAAGCTTATTTTTTGGAGAAAAGAGAGGCAACTGTACTTCAGTCTGCAAAACCAAATTGACCAAAGTGTCTGTGTCTGGCATCAAACGCTGTTCTCTTTCCAGTACCAAATGTTAAGTGTCTATAATCCACCCTGTGGCCAACTTTCCACTTCGATGCTGAGTCCACTTGCTCCTTTTCTGCTCAAGGATCTTGCTTCTCCAATCGTCCCATCTTGTGCATCCTCGCTCATCAGTTTCTTCCTCTCCGTTGGATCACTCCCACCAGCTTAAAGGAAGAAACCCTTCCTTCCCTCACATTCCCTTCCGGCTACCTCCCCGGGACCCTGCGCTCCTTCAGAGCAAGACTCCTTGGGCGATTTGTCTGTCCTTACTGCCTGCCCTGCATCTCCCCCTCTCCTCAACCCACTGCAGTCAGGTTTCCGTCCCCATTACTGGTCTGATAGCATCCATTCAAGGTTGCCCTTACTCTTGGCAAATTTCATTGTCAGCCTCAGTTTGCGCGTTGCCCAAGCTCAGCAGCACTTGACCCCGTTGACCGATTGAAACTCCTTCCCCTGCGCTCCAGGACACTGCTTTCTTTGCTCCTCCACCTGCCCCACCGGCTGGCTCTCTCTCTCTGTCTTCTTTGCTGACTCCTCCTTTGCCTTACCACTGAATATCTGTGTGCTCCATGGTGCAGCCGTGGACCTGAGCCTGTTCTCCAGGCGACCACATGCAGCCCATTGGCTGTCTGCATATATTTCCACACCACCCTCACTCCTGAGCTGTAGCCTCACGTAACCAACTGCCATTTCAGCGTCACGGCATGGACAGGGAATAAGTGTCTCCAGCAGAGCATGTTGAAAATGGAACTCCTGACGTCAGTCTCCTTTTTGCCTCTCCCACCCCTGTCTGCTGTTCCACTGTTATTACCTACTTAGTTAATAGTGATACCATTTGCCACTCGTGACTTAAAGCACAAACTTAGACCAACTCCCTTTTTCTTATCGCAAATCCACTTCACCAGCAAGTCAGCTCTTCTTGTGAAACCTTCCTCTAGTCTGACCTTGACATGTGACCATCTCTCACCATTCCCACCGAGACCTCCAGCCCAACCTCGTTTTCTGCATGGTCTATAGTAATAGCTTCCCAACCGCTGCGTTTTCCCTCCTGCCCTCCACAGTCTGCTTTCCACCGAGTAGCTAGAGATCCTTTTAATGTGTATTGGACTATATTATTCCCTTCCCCTGATGAAAACTCTCTAATGGCTTCTTTGAGAATTGAGAATCATTAACAAACTTGTGACCCCCGCATATAAGGCCCGGCAAGAGCTGGTGGCTAGCACTCTCCCTCGCTTGGTGCACCTGTAACCACACAGACCTCTCCGTCAGCACCGCCACTCCCGTCCCTGCTGTTACACTGTAGCCGTTGACCTGCTTTCTGTATTACTGTCTGATGTTATATATTTATTCATTTTGATTGTCCCTCTCCCTACCCAAATGTAAGCTCTGTGAGGTCACAACTTTGTCTTGGTATCATTTTATCCCCATCACCTAGATAGCAGGTCACCAAGGGGGCGATTGTGCTCCCAGGAGCTATGTGACAATGTCTGGAGACGCTTTTGGTTGTCACAGATGGAGGCGTGGAGCTGCTGACACCTGACGGGTAGAGGCCGGGGATGCTGATGAACATCCCGCGCGCCCAGGAGAGTCCACACCACAAAGAATCAATGTCAAGACATGTCATTAACGCTGAGATTGAGAAGCTCTGACCCAACACAATGCACAGTTGATGCCAAATAAATATTTGTGGGTCAAAAGAATGAATTTTCATTTAATGTCATAAATGAAGCATTATAATGATGTTTGGCTCTCATTTTAATGAGATGTTATCTACTGCAGTCCCTCAAATGATGCCACTTAGATGTTAAGGACAGCTGAACCAGAAATTACTTCAGCAAATTTCCCGGTTCAGAACTATGCCCTGTCCTTGCAAACCGTGATACATAGTTTGCTTCGTCAGATTCGGCCGTGCGCGGAGATGCTGGCATTGTTTATGGTCCCAAAATAACTGGTATGGAAAATGGAGCTCTGTTGTTGGTGCATAAGAAGGTCCTTTGTGACTGATGTAGGACCCGTCCCCGTGTTTGAGGTGGTGAGAAAGCATCTGTTTCCGCATTAAACGGGAAGCTCACCAGGGGCAAATCTGGCTGAAGCATTGTGCCTCATCAATTTTGAGTCCTCAAGAGAACATACTTAAGGTTTAAAACATTTTTAAATGTAGAAAAATGATCCTGCAAACATCTAAGAGGAGTTCTAGCTAAGCGATGACCTAGCTAGTGTCCGAGGGACAGGAAGCAGGGTTTTCTCTCTGATTGTTTTTTATAAAAATATATCGGAGGGGGTTCTGTCCCCTCCTCTCGGCCACACAGAGTATGCTTTTCTAGGAGACAACTTCTCATGTTAGAGAGGAAGACGGGATTGTAGCACGTTCGAGAAGCCCGCTTACTATTCCCAGCGGCAGTTCTTTTATTTATGATAGTGTGTTGTTGCCAGTGGACTGCAGACTTGATAGGTGGAGCTGGTTTTGAAAAATAAATAAAAGCATACACTCCTAATTCACTTATATGATCAAACGTGTAGTCAAATGAGCCTCTTCTGTTACTAACTTTTTTTACCTGGTTACCGGCACCAAGAACTAGAATGCTATTTGGACTGACCTCAAAGAAGTTTAATTAAACATGTTGGGAGACATCCTTGATTCTTTTCCCTCTCACGCCCACATCCAACCCGTCGGCAAACTCCATGGCTGTACTGCCAGGATATGTAGCAATGCTGCCTCCTCTACTGCCCAAGCCACTGTCACCTCCCAGGTGGAGCTCCCAGTGGCCTCCTGACTGGTCTTCCCCCTTCCACCCTTCCCCCGTCCCCACACACAGGGGCTAGAGGGATTGGTATGAAACATAAGTACTTAAAAACCCGACTGTACTTTCTCATCGCATGCAGAATAAAATCCTAAGCTCCCACTACGACTTGTAAGCCGGGCCCTGTACGATCTCACCTGGGCTCCCTCCAACTTCCCTCCTGCCTCTTCGCCCTGGTTCACTGACTCCAGCCACACCAGCCCCCCTGCTGCCCATGCGCCCCACCTCAGGGATTTTGTACTGATCCTTCCCTCGGCCTGGAGTCCTTGTCCTGGAGATTCACACGACTCCCTCCCTCGCCCACTTCCTTGTGCCCTCTTCTCAACTGTCACCCTGCCAGGGAGGCCTTCTCTGGCTTATTCATACAATCAAGCACCCTCCTTTTTGTGTGCTCACAGCTTGGAAAACATTTTATATGTTTTTTATTATCTGTTTTATGCAACTGATCTATAAGTTCCGGGAATGCAGAATTTTTCTGTTTTGTTTACTGCAGTATCTCTAGACTCTGGCGCATATGAGCACACACAGTTGTCCACACAGAGATTTATTAAACGAACGAATGATTGACTAGGAAAGGACAATTCTTTATGCCATGTCTTGTCCACCTTGGGTTTGTTTCCTCATGAGGAATTAAGTAGAAGCCTTTTGTAGTTGCTCATAAAGATCTGCATAGAAACTCTTTCCTCCCAAAATACTGTCAAGCAGTACTATGTCCTGACATTTTAAAATTCTCGTGGTATGGATGCAAATGGAAGTCAAGGCTCGTTTTATTTTGGAAGTGGTAGGAACAGTGAGGTTATTCCTATGAAATTCCCTGAAAGCTGATGTTATTACGTTATTACATCTCACAAGTTGCTGTCTTTTCCTTGCAGGCGTATGCCGAGCCTACTGGAGTATTTAAGCTACAACTGTAACTTCATGGGTATCCTGGCAGGCCCCCTCTGCTCTTACAAGGACTACATTACTTTCATTGAAGGCAGATCCTACCAGCTGACACAAGCAGGCGCAAGTGGCAGAGAAGAACTACACTGTGAAAGAGCAGAGCCGTCTCCAAATGTAAGCTCGTGAGTTTAGCTGGAGTCTTTTTTTTTTTTTAGCATGTATTGACTCATCTTGTTTATTTAATGATACTAATGTCTTCCAGTTTTGAATGAACCCACCTATTTTTTAAAAAATACTTTTCAAGAGAAATGACTCTTCACCCAGTACCTAGTGGTGGTACCTAGTGGAAGTACAATTATGAAAGAACAAAACTAAGGTTGCCTAAGAAACTATGCTGAATTCCTTCATGAGAAGACTGCTTTAGAGTTGCGGAGCACTCTATAAGAAAGCGCTTCGCATGGAACGGAACCAACCTACCCTTCCAGGCTTTTCCCTTACCTAGACCTTATGTTCCAGCAAGTTGGAGGTGTTCCCTTTCCTTCACCTGCGTTCCCTCCCCTCTTCCTGATCGTTGCCCATGGAAATCTTACTCCTCCTGAAAGGCCTACTTCAAATATCACCGTTTCTATAAAACCTTTTCCGAGTCCAGCAGTGAAGCAGATGGCAGGAGGCAAACACTCCAATCACACGTCTACGTGCCGGGCACTGTCGTAGGCGCCTCACATGGTCACTCCTTCGGCCCTCACACCAGACTTACAAGGTTGGTGCGGTTATTCTCGGCATTAAACAGATGAGGAAACTGAGGCCGAGAGGCTAAGTAGTTTAGCCAAGATCCCGCGTTGGCGGTAGGAGAACTGGAATTCAAACCTGTGGCCCCGCACCCAACACGGTCTTCACTTCCTTTGAACTGCGGAGGGACCCGGAACTGTCGAGGCGCTGCTTTATCAAGAAAGGCTGTGGGGCTTTGTGTAGGCGAAGTGTCTGCTGGATTTGATCTGCTAGAATCTAAACGTCCCACAAGAAAAAGGTCATCAAAAAGCAGGAGAAAATAAAGGCAGGCTCGTGTGCTTTTTCTGCATGTGGGGCTTGGAGCAAAGGACACCCTCCTTTCTAAGCGATTATGAAACAGTGAGTGGAGAAGTGGGCACCCACTCCCGAGAGCTCTGGACCACCCCTTCCCTGCCACGTGGCTTTGTGTTTTAGACCAGAAAGGTGCTTTTGTCTTCAGACTTCCTAGTATACTGGCTAAGTGTTCATTGAAAAATTCCGTATCAAACTGAGTTGAATTTCTGACTTCGCATTGGGTGTATTCAGATGTCTTCCATTCACTATTTTGTGTCTCTAGGCTGGTCACTGTTCAGAGGTTCCGTTGCCATAAGAGAAAGTAAAGATAATTATAGATAGGAATGTGGATCAAGTTTCTGAAGTCTTGTCTTATACTTTTCAGACGGCAGTTATTCAGAAACTCTTAGTCTGTGGACTGTCCTTGTTCTTTCACTTGACCGTCTCGAACACGTTACCTGTGGAGTATAACATTGATGAGCATTTCCGAGCTACAGCTTCGTGGCCGACAAAAGTGACCTATCTCTATGTCTCTCTGTTGGCTGCCAGACCCAAATACTATTTTGCATGGACGTTAGGTGAGTAACGTGTGAACAGGCCTTTCTGTTAATGTGTCGTAGTGTATCTTACCTTACACACAGCCGTGAGAGTGGCCTCTTGAGGCTATACAGTTAAAGACCAATTAGAAAAGTTAGGGTCATTGACGGAGAAGAAACAAACCTTATAGCTCATATCCGAAATAGGAGGATAATCCTAAAAACTGTTAGGATGTCCTAAAAACTGGATCAAGCCCATTTTATTAAATATTAGATTTAAAGGAGAATAAATCTGCTTTTATTATTTAAAAATAAAAGATCGTAGTATATGATAACACACACCTTGGGGAGAACATGGTAGATTGTTACATAGGTTCTTAATACTTTTTTTTTATTTCTTTACTACAGCTGATGCCATTAATAATGCTGCAGGCTTTGGTTTCAGAGGATATGACAGAAATGGAGAAGCTCGTTGGGACTTAATTTCCAATTTGAGAATTCAGCAGATAGAGGTTAGTACATCATTAACAAGCTAGTTACCATATGACACTTGAAGTCCTGTAATTTGCTTTCATAGGCTATGATGTGATGGCCAAGAGTGGAATCGAAGGACTTTTTATATCAAGGCTTATTCTTTCCTTCAACCAATATTTACTGGTTGTTAACCATGTGCCTAGGCGCTGGGGATCCAGGGAATGCGATGGGTATGACCCGGACCCTCCCGGAGCTTTAATCCAGTGGCGGTTCCAGGGTTACAGAAGGGTAGCTTATGATCAGAGAAGTATAGGGTGTGTACGTGTTATTATCAGATAGGCATATGCCTTAGAGGAGGAAGGGGTCCTGAAGGAAATAATGGGCTCCTGAAGCTGAGTCCTGGTTGGTAGATAGGCGGCTGCCAGACACCCCAGGTAAAGCGGAGCAGCCTGAGGGAGTGTGGCTCACGTCGGTTCACAGAGATAAGGCTGGAAAAGAGGCCAGGCCAAGCACAGTCCTAGACGCCATATTAAGGGCTTTAATCTCCCCTATAAGAGGGTTGAGGATGGGTTATATGCCAAGTGCACGTTGTGAACCTGGTGCGGCTCCTGTTGAACAGACCAACTGAAAAAAACACGTTTTTAAACAATCAGGAATATTTGAATACAAAAACGGGTATTAGATGATGTTATGAAATTATTGTTAATTTTGTTGGGTCTGATCATGGTTTTTTAAAAGTCCTTATTTATTGGACATAAATTCTGGGTTATTTACAGGTGAAATAAGATGCCTGGTGTTTGCTTTGAAATACTCTTAACAATGTCGGCAATAAAAATGGAGAAAGGGAGGGGAAGTTGATAATTATGGAAACTGGGTGATGAGTATATGGCAGTGTTTCTAACCTGTTGTTCATTACTGCCTCCCTACAGAGCCTTTTGAGATATTTTTTTCCTAATCACCCCTCTTGAAATTTTAATATGAGAAATTTTAATATCCATTTTTGTGCTTTATATGTAAAAACAGTAAGACTCTTTGCTCCCTAAGAACCAGTTTTTAATCCTGGGGGGGCGGGGGCTGATATCAGCCCTGCTGAGAATGTGTTGTACAAGAAAAAGTAAAGACAAAAGAAGGGAGTTATTTTTTCTGAAGGAGGAGGTGGTCATCAGTGTGAAATACCGCCGAGATGTCCAGTAAGATAAGGACTCACAAATGCCATTAGCTTTGACAACATGGGAGTTCATTGATGATTTTGGTAACAGTGTCAACGGAGGGACAGGCATAAAAGTGAGATTGTACAACTCTTAGAAGGAGGGTAGAGATGAGGCAGCAGCTGAGGGGAACAGGTGATGGCAGGAAGCATTTTGTTTTGTTTAATTTTGTTTTAAAACGGAGAGATTGAAACGTGTTGACTGATTAGGAGAGTATTTGAAGAGAGAGCGTGTGTGAAAAGAGCAGCAGGAGAGAGAGCCTTATCCATACATGAGGTTCCTAAGTAGATGGAGCGAGGGGATATGATGCAGAGGACAGATGGACAGACTGACCTTGAGGAAGAGGGGCCAGTTCTTCTATTATAAAGGCAGGAAAGGTAAGTGTGGGTGCAGCTGAGTTTGTAGTTTTAATGGTGAGAATTTGGAATCCAATGGTTTATATCATCTCTATAAAGTAGCAGGCAAAGTTACTTGTTGTGAGGGACGGAGGAGGTGATAGGACCAGAGATAGGAAGGAGAGTGGGGAACTTTGGAAGGATTGGGTTGGACCTTATGCAATTGCTGACATTTACCTGGTTTTGATTTACCAAAAGACATTTGAAAGGGTTCAATCCAGTAGCCCTTTTCAAGAGGAGAATGAACTGTCTAAGGAAACAAGGATTGTCTGGTAGGTCGAGCACCCTGTTGAAGTCGAGAACCATGACTCGATGACAAATGTCTGGAATGCTGTGTGACATTCAGCATTCAGATGTTATGAGTGGGGAAGATGGGCCCTACGGTTGATCGGGGGTTAAGATTTTGATAGGTAGGAAGTTAAAAGGAAAAAAGAAAAGGCATCAAGGATTTTGATGAGAATAGTAAATAATGGACCACAAAATCCCAAGTGGTGAGAAGGAAGTGAAGACCCAAGGAGGCGATAGTGACATAGAGAAAAAGTAGAGGCCAGGAGACCCAGGTTCCCTCTGAGATCAAAGGATAGTGTTAGTCAGAGAAGCTTGAGTGAGGAGGCTGAAAAGGTGAGGTGATGGTGTGCAGGTCCACGCCGGTGGGGGTGGTAGTTCCCGGCGGGGCCGAGACTCCGAGTAGCCCAGAAGGGGTGACCGAAGAGGCCTGGAGGTGAGGGAACTGAGGGTCTGGGCTTGAGGGGACCTCCAGTCCTTGGTGAGAGAGTCATTTGCATACCCTGTCAGGAATTTCTTTAGGATAATTCCATGGCAACCCCTGTAAATGTTAACACATAGGAGAAAATGGTGGTAATCCATTTCTCTCACAAATGTTCCCTACAGTAAACAAACTCTTTATATATAGTGTGTTAATACTGCATTAGAAAAGAAAAAAGGAACAGAATCAATACACTGCCATCATTGTCAAGTTAATTTATTTTTAGCACAATAAAAACATTATTATTTAAATTTGAACCTTCATTATTTTGTTGGCCAACGAAAAAGTTGCTTTGTTTTTCAGATGTCAACAAGTTTCAAGATGTTTCTTGATAATTGGAATATTCAAACAGCTCTTTGGCTCAAAAGGTAAGTTCCTTCACAGACAATCTTCAGCTGTGCTTTGGTACCTAATACTTGAGGTCAAGCTTCATTGAATTCAGATTCTTGATTAAATTAACAATGTGTTGAGTGACATTGAGACCTTGGTGTTCACCGGGAAACACTGTTGACATCCTCCCAAGCAAGGTCATGAATGTAGCTGCTGCTGACCTCTCAGCCTGCCTGTGAAGGCCTCTATCAAGGTCAGGTCACCAGTGACCCCCCCCACTCTTGTTCATTGGAGATTTGTTCAAACAAAAGAAGTCACTGTGCAATTACTATGCACAGGACCTAGATTTTCCAGAACCATTCCAGTTTCAAAATATTTGAGATTTTTATATGTTAGGCACAGGATATAAAGATGAATAAGACAAAAAGAGCCAGTCTCTGCAGTCAGAGTTCACGGTCTTGTTCCAAACGCAGCAGTGCCATCTACATGTGCTCTTCCCTGTAGTGAGGGTGACAGAGGGAGTGAGGCCACAGAGGGGACAAAGGGGCCTGCGCTGAGATTTATGATGAGTAGGAATGTGTCGGATGGACACGGGGTGGGAAGGGCAGCCCAGGGAGAGGCACATGACAAAAGATGGAGTTAGGAATTGCACAGAAACAAACTCCCAGTGTTTCTGTCTCACTGTTTCCAACGCGACACAAGGCCCCGTGTTGAATTCAGTTCATAAATTGCCTGTGATGGTAGGACTCTGAGCACCCTTCCATGTAAAGCCACCTCCTTTTGTCATGTCCTTTACGTTTACTTATGACAAGTTGAGTGTCTCGATCCCTTGAGAGATCCAAAATATGTTATCATTGTTTTTTTTGCCCTGCAGTCTCCCCAGTGGCTGCAGGTTTTTCTGAGCTAATCTGTTCTGTTATTTTTTGTTGTTGTTAAGTTTTAAATTTGGTACCTTAGGAAAATCTTATTTTCATCTGAGTTCTCTAGCCTATTAAAAGAAAACTTTAGACTAAGCACGGCCTACTTGCCAGAGGATTAGGTTTGTTAGATCAGTTGAAAGCTCTTAATGTTATTAAAGAAAAAAATAAAATAATGTAAAATAAAAATAACTTCATTGTTACTTAAAGGGTTTTTTTTGTAAATAGTATAGACTCCCACACACTAGAAATGATCATTTTACCTATTACATATACCAGAAGAAGATGCGAATTAAATTTATTTTCCTAAATTTGACGCTTAATAGCTGTAACCTCCATGAGGACACAGATCAAGTTATTGCCTAAGATAAGCTGTGGTTATTTTCCTGGGTCCCCTAAGTCCCGTCAGGTACAGAATGACCATTGTGGGCTTTATAAGGCCTAATCACACCACTCCTCACGGCTCCGTGTTTTCCATGGTTCCCAGGGTGTGTTATGAACGAGCCTCCTTGAGCCCAACCATCCAGACGTTCATTCTGTCTGCCATTTGGCATGGGGTCTACCCAGGATATTATCTGACGTTTCTAACAGGAGTGGTGATGACGTTAGCAGCTCGAGCTGTAAGTATCAAGAATTTTGTGTCATACTTCAATGGCAGTCTCCTTGAACTGCTGTGGAGGGCGGAGGAAACCATTTCCAAGGCAGGCCCTGGTCAGCACCCCACTGTGGCTGGAAGCGAGGTGTGTGCCTGGTGTGTTTGCCCAGGGCTGCCGTGGGCCCCACACTTGTTTCATCTGAGAAGACCTGGCACACAGGGGGCGCCCACACAGTGCTTATTATCATTACAAAATTGTCTGCAGTGAGCTGGAAACTGAGTTAAAGATGATGAGATGGGGAGGTTTGTTTTAGAAATTGTTCTGAAAGCTGTAACCTTTGAGTCTTCTTTTAGATGAAGACTGGGGCATGGATGGGCCTCGATAAGGTGGATGGATGGGCCATTCCTGGTGGCAGACGCCACATTGGAAGCAGGGCATGGTTCTTTAGAGTATGTACTTGGTTGCGAACTGGAGTAATATTTTGGGAAACAATTGAGAAATTAGGTTGGTGACATGGGTGAGCAAAGAAGAAGAATTTAATGTTGAGTCCTTGAAAGTCAATGAGAGGAAGTAACATGACAAAAACAGTGTTTGAACAAGCTTATTATATCACAGGGAAGAGGGCTTCATGGAACAGACTAGTAGATGGTTACTGTGTGCCATTGTAAGGTACCTTGGGGGCGTCTGAGGAAATAGCAAGAACTACCCAAGGGCTATATCTTCTGGTAGTTTGTAGTCTAATTAGGGGCACAAGGACTGTGTGTCTGTGTGTGTGTGTGTGTGTGTGTGTGTGTGTGTGTGTGTGTGTGTGTGTGTGTACACACCACAGGCATATGTCATAGATGCTGTGGGTTTTGTAGATAGTAAGTAGCATAGGTATTTAGAGGGGAAAGAAGCCCTTTTTGGTTAGGTTTACTAGAGGTGGCCTCATTGGAAAGCGTAGTTGGGTTTGGGGCTTTGAAAGAGGAAAGTTCTCTCACTAGCGAGTGAAGTATAATGGGAAGAGACTGTGACATTCTCGGCATGGAAATAACAGCAAAACTAGGTTTGAAAGTGCATGGTGTATTTGGGAATGACAGGTCAATGTGACTGAGGCAGGAATTTCATGAATGCATATGGGTATGTGGGGGATAAGTCTGAAAAGGCAAAGGGCGGGATTGGGGAGCAGCCCAAAAAGAGGAGAAGGTGAACCCCACACCGGGGAGAGCCTAATCCGTATTCTGTTTGCATATTAGGGAGTCAGGGAAGGTTTGTAATCATGGGGATGGAATGCTGAAAGCCATGACTCAGGAAAGCTGACTTGCCATCGGTTGACAGAGGGAAGAGAGGGTGGGTAGCTGCTGCGGCCGGCAGCTCGGCAAGAAATGGCAGGTGCCAGGATTCCGTCCTGGCCGCTAAGAATGATGGTCTCGGAATGGAGGCGCCATTAACCATCCACCAGATCACCTCTGAAAACCTCAGGTGGCATCCTCGTAGCAGGACCACATTTCACCTATAAACATATTAGACAAGTGGGGACCACAATAGGAAGAAGAAGATGATGTTTGGTTAAGGTCACACATTTCAAAACTGAAATGTTCTAGAAGATTCAAAATTATTAAAGCCGTAATTATTAGAAAAAACCTTGTTTTGAGAAGCTCTCCCCAGCTTCCATGAACGAACAAATAACGTGCCCTGTTGTCATTTATGTTAGTAAGTGCTTTTTGACCTAAGCTCAGTGGATAGTATCTATTTGTCTTTCACACATGCAGAGGGTAGAGGCAGAAGGGTGCCTCATTCCATACTCACACTGTGAACATAGCCACCACTATGACGAAATGGAAGACAGATGGAACTGTATATACTGTAGTTTTACCAAGTGTGATTTAAGGAGCTCTAGACAGTGTTATGTTTAACGTTTTTTGGAACGTTTAATTTTAATACAACTTCAAATCTACAGAAACGTTGCAAAGAACTTCTCTGTGCCCTGTACCCAGACTCACACATTTTGCCAACGCGCTTCCTCACCCTCTCTCCATCGCCTTTATACAGACATGTACGGGTGTTTTGAGCTAACTTTTCCAGTAATGGGACTGTCATTGTAGATTCCCACCAAGAATGGGTGAGTTTCAGTTACTCCAGGTAGTGTAATTTTATAAGCAATGCTAAAGATGAAGCAAATGTTTTTGTTTCTTCATTTCAGGTAAGAAATAACGTCAGACATTATTTCACTGAACCTCCCCAGCTTAAATTATTGTATGATGTTATCACATGGACAGTAACCCAGATAACGATAAGTTACACAGTTGTGCCATTTGTACTTCTTTCTGTAAAACCATCATTGATGTTTTATGGGTAAGTGTTACTCTTGAAAAGATGTCAGTGGGCATAACTTCACTTTTAAAGGAAAGTTCCGTGCTATTAGGTATAATGGAAAAAGAGTATCATCGCCTCATTTCCAGAAGCTAGATGGGTTATCAGTTACTTCTGAATCTCAGACCAAGCAGTCTCAGGTTTCTTTACAGAGTGATTTCACCACTCAGCCCTCAGAGGAGAGTTGGAGTAAGAGAAACATCAGCTGGGTAACCACTGCCTCAAATCCCGCAAAGGTTTATCTAGAAAGTGTAGCCGTGGCCTCCCCGGCTGTTTACTGTCCCTAACTAAGTTACAAATATTCTAGTGAAGTGAGTAACAGATAAGCAACATCGCTTATCTTTACAAGAAATTATTCATTCTCTTAATTTCTTTAATCAAAAGAACATAAATTATATTTCATTTACTTGTTTTTGTTTCACTCTACTTTTGTGTTTTATTGGTGCTTTGTCATCTCTGTATCACAGAAATTGTTGTCTTGAATTCTGTATTTTATTTCTCCAACTCCTTCCTGCATATTAGATAGTGATACCTTTGAGATTGAAAACTTTATTCTTTCATAAAACTTTTCATTACCCTAGCATTTAGAATGAGAGCACAGAGTACGTGGTCAAATTGTTGAATTGAATAGGATGATAATCATATGGGAAGACGTTAAGTAACTCCTGCTAAAATTTCACTTTAACACAACTATATCTTATTTTTTAATGTGATTGCGCTGTTGGTTGGATTTTGACCTAGGTTTTTTTGTTCCCAATCCCTTGCACTCACAGCGATAGAAGCAGTTGAGGTCATGTTTGGTTTATATTTAATTTGGGGAATGATATTTCTAACAATATTTTTAATAATGTGACATTTATGTCATGACAGTAACCATCAAGAAGCAATATTGCTTATCTGTTACTCACTTCATTAGCATATTTGTTACTTAATTAGGGACAGTAAATAGCAGGGGAGACCAGAGTAGTAGAAGTCCCTGCTATGTGTGCATTCTCTTGTTTGTTCAATATTTGATTCTGTGGATTTGAGAGCGTACTTTCAGATGGCTACAGCTACTAAGTACCTTTTTGTTTTTGTTCTATTTAGCCATGGCTTTGTGACCCTTAAAAGGAATGTAATGGGACACTTAGTCTCATGCTTATAATTGGCCTGGGTTTACACAGAGCTTTCTAAATATCCACTGGCATACACTGTAGAGTTTCATCTCATGGTCGGGGGGATAAAAGAATAATGTAGTAAATAAACACGTCCTAAGGGGGACATATCATTTTGACAAGTGAATAGTTCTTAAGGATTGTTAACTATCAAAACTTCATAAACGTTTTCCTTTTTCTTTTAGCTCCTGGTATTACTGCCTTCACATTGTTGGTATCTTAGTATTATTGTTGTTACCAGTGAAAAACACTCAAAGAGGAAAGAATACACAGGAAAATGTCCAGCTGTCACGATCCAAAAAGTTTGACGAAAGAGAAAACTCTCTGGGACGGAATAGTTTTTCCACAACAAACAATGTTTGCAGTCAGAATCAAGAAGTAGCCTCTAGACATTCAACACTAAAGCAGTGATGGGGAGAACGCTCAATGACTATTTTTTGTATGTTAACCGAATCCAATCTTAGCACCTTCTCAAGAGGTTTGGGTTTGTTTGAAAAGAGGTTAAGTGGGGGGAAAACCAGACAGTTATTGATAGGGAATTTCCTGTGTACCGATTGGAAATGGGGTGAAATACCCCCTCCCATGCCATGTCCCTGTGGGCCACGCCTTATATATAATATTTCCATGATTTCAATGACACTCAGGACCTCAGCATATGTCCGTAGGGTCGTAGGTGTGCCCTGTTGCTGAATGTACGTTGTGAATCCCAAGGCACTGAAGAAGTGGAAAAATAATTGTGTCAATCTGGATGATTGAGAGAAATTAACTTTTTCCAAATGACTGTCTTGCCTTAAACCCTCTATTTCCTAAAATATTGTTACTAAATGGTATTTTCAAGTGTAATATTGTGAGAACACTATTTCAGTATTTGATGTTGTGTGCCGTAAAGGAATTCTGGAGGCATTTGAAACAGGATAGTTAAGAATGTGGATACTTTAAAAATGCAATAAACATCTCAGTATTTGAAGGGTTTTTGTAAAGGGTCTCGAATGACTACAGTACGTAGAGGAACTATAAGCAGGTTCCCAAATTATAGGTAGGTGATCCTCCCGGAGAGTTTAATTACCTGTGTCTGTCAGAGAGCCCTTCAAGGAAGAATTCCTTAAACATAATTAAAGGTTGGCAATGCGATCCTTTAAGCTTATCTTCTTCAAGGAGAGAGAGACGACGATGAAGGAAAGCAGGAAGGATGGCATGAATGGAGAAAGCGCCATGTGGCTGGAGCGAGACCTGGTGGCAGCTGTAACAGGTCGCGGGTGCTCAGCAGCCGTGCTTCTCCCCCTTATTTATCTGAGATTTTTGTGATTATGTAAGACATAAAAGTTTGATAACTTTTTAATGCGTTGGACTCTGAGATTTATCAAGACTAAGTTATATAGAATTATAAGAAGATTATGAAAATAATAGTGAAAGTGGAATCATTGAGTAAAGCTACTATCTGGCTAGTTACTTTCTCATCCTTGACAGTTTAATTCACAATTAGGAAAGTTTTAGGGGAAGGAAAACTTAAAGTCTTTGGGTCTGAGCCACATTTTTAAGAATAATATAAATTAGTTTCCAAACCCTTAACTTCTCACATTCAAATTTTGCTGTTAACGCTTGTTACTGAGTATTTGATTCTGTAAGTAGAAAAATGTCTCTTTATCTTACGGGCCATTTTCACCAATCGGAACCTTGCCTTGAATTCCTCCGAGGTGTCTCCTTTAATCCCACAGCCTTGTGATGCTGCAGTAGCTGCGAGAGAAGCCTGGGATGTGATGCCAGCCTGGTGCCAGGGCCTCGGCCATGGATCCTGAATCACGGGGGCCGAGGGAGAAGGGTGGGTAGGGCTTTCGGACTACACCTTTATTTGACCAATCTTTTGTGGAATTTATTTTCTGTTTGCCTTAAATTATTTAATGAAATGCAAATTATCTATGGTAAGTCTCTTTATTTTTGTCATTAATAAATTTGCAAATGAACTTAACAGAACAACTATGTGGCTTAAGCGATGTAGTATTTCATTTAAAGAAGAAAGGAAAAACAAATAAATGTACTTGGAACTTTTGAGGTCTTAATTAGCAAAAATGTCAATGTATCATTTTAGAACTTTAGATATATCCGAGTATTTGTTTCTATGAAATGTTTTTATGTTTCTAAAGGTAAATTTTTTCCACCTGATGAGGTTAGCCATGCCCTGTTACCTCTTGGGAAAGAATAGATAGCTGAATAAATTTTCTCTTTTCCCCCCATGTGTTGAAATTAAGCTTGCTGTGTAATGTGAGAGGATAGATAGAAAAGAATAATCATGGAAAGTATCTGCCTCCCCAAAATCTCTCCTCAGTTTAATTAGTGCTACAGAGAATCTGATCACTGTTGAGAAAAAGTAAACAAATTTAGAGTTTAAAAGACAAGTCTAGGCATGTCATAAGTGAAAACAAGAAAGCTTATGAAAACATTTTTGTTCAGCCTATTTAGCCACTTATAATAATCACCACTTATTTGTATTACCTGACTCTATTTTATTTCTGTAAATGTAAAATCACTCTTCTCTCTTGCTCAGTGAATATAACCATAGGGCTACCATGGAGAAAGCAAGACACTGATGAATTTTCCAGTTACTTTGAAGATAAATAGACTGATTTTCATCCCCCAGACCAACTAGTTTCTTGTTTTGTTTTTTTGTATGAAATGATTTTAGGATAGCTTTTCTCTAATTTTGGATAAATTATAATCACAAGTATGCAATCTAGAAGAAAAACTAAAGAAATCATTCTAATTCTTGACTTGACTTTTCTCCACAAGAAGAAACTTTTTGTGCTCTATGCAATGAACATATCTACTTGGAGTGTTGTAAGGATTGATACTTGACTTCCACTTATAGAAGAAGAACTGAAAACTGGTGTATCTCTCTTCTGCTGTTAAGTATGAAGCAATTCAGTATAATCTGGGCTTCTCCTTTTCTCATCGTTGAATAGGATTCAGTGCATATTTACATTATTTCTCCACTTTTCAGTTGTCATGAGACCACCCCAGAGATGATCAATCAATATCGTATTTATACTTTCGGTTAATTATTATACTACTCAGGGGAAAAACAATGAACAAAAATAATTATTCTTCCCTCAGTTTCATTTTCTTGAAACAGTAGCAGTTAATTTGTGTATCTTAGCTGTCACCATTTTCAAGTGGCTTATTCTTGGTTTTTAAAAATAAGCATTTTTTTATTGGAATTCTGGGTAATTGGGGAAATTTATTTAGCTTCTAAAATGTCCCACGTAATAGAGACAGTTTCTTTGGCTTCAAAAATGCCCAGCCACCACTTATGTCGCCACCATACTTTTGGTTAAAAAGTATTTTTGTTATTGATCTCTGCTATGTGTGACATTCCCATACAGGGTTTCCACAGATACCAGTCTTGAGAAAAATCTGCGGTAAGAAGAATGGTTCTAAAAAGTGAAGGTAACTCACACTGAAGCACTAATGATGTTGGGAGGAGACTTGGGTCTTCATCTCGCTCAGTCACTAATGACCCTGTGACTTGGACAAGGCACCTGTGTTCTAGACTAGAGTTGCTGAATAAGCCCAAAGGGTCAGTCCTAAAAGTTTGTGACCAGTTGTGTTTGTAATGAATGGAAGCCTTAAGCAAGATCTTTTAAGAGTCACAAACAGGGCAAGTTTGCAATCATAATTATTGTCATGGTCATTTACTTTTATCACTTGTGCTCAAAGCCCTGACTTTTCAAAAGATTTTCTGTGGCAACAGAAGAAAACCTTTCAGTCCATGGCAGCATACTGCTTTTACTGAATATAGCCCATAAAATGAATTTTCCATAATGAAATAGTCTCCACTGAAGAAAACATATTTTCCTTTAGTTTTCTCTGCTTTTTTGGTTTCTGTTTGTGATGTGTAGAATTGAAGGAGGTACGTGCTAAAAAATATTTTATACAAATTACCAGCTTTACCGGACAGGGTTTACCACCATATAACTTCTCAAATATAATTTCATTCAAAGCTATTTAAAGCATATTTAATTTAGTTACACCTTACTTTAAACTACAGGAAAATTACTTAAAATTTTTGCCATTAAACTAATTACAAAATTTATACTTTCATTCGAGGACTAGAATACACTTAGGACAAAAATCTTTCCTATTTATAATTCATACCCTATACATTTTAATTTGTATGCTCATGAACAGCTCTGGACATTTATACTTTTTTGTTTCCTTATAAACTGTTCAAAATTATTAGTTAATTGGTTTTAAGAGTTCTACATTATAACTGAAAGAAAAGATTACTTGAAAGAATAATTGTTTCAGAATGGTGCCCATGATTGATTGCTGTGTCAGCAAAGGATTTGTCCAGAGTTTTAGATATAAACCAGTATTTTGTGGAGTTTCATTCAGCCACGAGTAGTCCGTCCTGGCTGAAGCTGAATACATCAGCTCTAACGTAGGTGCAGAATTCTAAACAACACTGTGAAATATAACCTTAACTGCCCTCCAGTACCATGAAACCATGACACTGGACCCAGCTACCGAGTATCTGGTAGTTGGTACACTGAGCTTAGATGCTGAGGGTTCTTCTTTCTAGCCTTTCCTTGTATTAATAAAAAGGGGCTTGTGTCCATGCAGCATCCAAATGCTGAAGGACAAGATTTGCATTTAAGAGAAGAAAATCCACTCTCAAATTTGGATTTGAAAGATCAGAATGGAGGGGGGCTCTCCAGTGTTTTTCTGCAGCACCACACGGTCAAATCTATTTGTAGTAACTCTCATTACAGAAGAAAGTTTTAAATGCCATTTCCATGTTGGTATTGGTAGGAACGCTCTTCTCATCACTGATGAAGTTGCACTTTGAGGCTCTTGTAGAGAGGATGCGACCAATTCCATTAGGAGGGGTGGGCTGCTTGTTCTGTTTTTATATGTTTGAAAATAATATTTATTTTAATAGGTTTTTAACATTATGCAAATCCCAGTAAAGAACTGACAGGCTCTATAGGTCATTCATTGGGAAGACTTTCTAAAAAGGAGCCTAAAGACACGGTTTTATGCTAATTTGTCTTGCCTTGAAAACTGATTGTAACTGTCTTTTAGTACACCTTTTCTAAAGCAAGCAAACAAACCCCAAGACTATGTGTTCTATAAACAGTAGTATCAAGATCCACGCAGAACCACTGTGCAAAGCTTACTCAGTGATGCATAGCCATGTCCCCCAGTCACGTTTTATCACATTTTGCTACTATAAAAAGAAATGGAAATAGAATGAAAAACCAAAAGTTACAGAGCAACAGTAGTAGGACGACTAGCATTTTCTTAATAACATGTTGGAAATGGAAAAAGTGACTGGCTGCCTTTTACTGGTGTCATACACATCTGTGTCCCGCCCAGTCTCTCTTTTGGGGTAACTTCTTTGAGAAACTGATGTGTTGATATTCCTTTCCAATGAAAGGACAAACACAGGTAAAGAGTTTGACGAACTTTTGAAGTATGCCTCTTTCCCAATTTTAAATATTTTTGGTATGTGAATTTGTCAACAAAGTACATTTGCTCCTGACTTCGTCATGTGGAGAAAGGAATCAAACATCCAACACAAACGTGTTCCAAACCAGCCTTTTCCATCTTCTGTCACCTGCACGTGACCACCTCTCCGAGCCAGAAGGGGCACAATACAAAGCAGTAGGGACGAAAGTAAAAATAATTCCGTTGAACCTGAGAAACCTGCTCCATACAGAGTGAAAGTGTGTGATCTGAATCCTGGCTTCCTTTAAAAGCTGTATTTTGATGTCCGCCTGAGAGGCGTCGAACACTGTTCCCCAATCATGAGGAGGGGCCCAGCGCCAGAACCAGTATTTACAGGACTCTTTTGCCTTCCCAGGGTGAGACTAGAATGTGGTGTTCTGTGCTTTTTGTTTTTATTATTCCAAAATATTTTTTTAAAGAAGTGTTATTTTTCAACAGATCCATACGTTTGTTCCTGTTGTATGCTAAATTAAAACTACCACTGTGTCAGTTACACTGTGACGTGATAATTTCATAACCACTCATTTCTAGTCTGTGTCCCTAGCGCTGCTGCACTGGTGGCTTATTGCTGGGTTTTAAAGATATTTTTAACTTACATATGAATGTTTTTTTTTCTAATTTGTGTGTCTTTAAAACTGATTAAACAGTGGTTTAAAATCACGGGTGTGTGTTTGCTAATTTCAGAGGCTTCAAATTCCATCTGTAGAACTGAATACCAGGCCTTTCATGAGAAGTAATGGTCTTTTTTTATTGCAGGATTCCTCAATATGAGGATAATATTCTAAGGAGTCATTGACTTTTTAATTGCTTGAAAATTGCTTAAAAGAAACTATCATCACATTATAAACACTTCGGAAGACAATTAAAACGACTCTAAATTAGTATATAGTATTCTGTATTCTCTCTTAAAAACGTGGAGAAGAGGCTGTCTTTCCTCAATTAAAAAGAGCCGGCTTTCCCAGTCCTGTGGTGGGTGGACCCTTTCACTGTCTTATGTCTGTATCCAGTGTTTGCTTTTGTGAAGAAGAGCACTGGGACCCCTACTCAGTTTCTGTACCACGATTATAAACTTCGGGGGGTTTTGGGGTATGCTTCCAGGCGTTTCTAGGTGCTGTCGTGAACAACGGTGGGGAAGACATTAACTTATACTGTTTACAAAGATGCCAGACTCAAAACACACCAGGAAGTCCAGCCTTGGTGCCCTCTGTCTGGAAAGCCTTAGGCTGTGATGGCAGATGTAAACGACCCACTTGTAGATTCGGGCTGTACCAAAATTGGGCCATGGCCAAGAGCAGTGCAGACACAGAGCCCAGAGCTGCCTGCCAGCGCAGTCCTCAACATGTTTGTCCTGACAAGCATGACAGCCAAGGTTAACCTGATTTACTTCTCAGCACGGAAAGCCCTGGGTGGCTAGAGGCCCCCAGGCCTCCTATTTTAATATAGATGGATATTGTAATGTATTGTTTTTGTTTTTCTTTCAGTGGTTCATTCCACAGTCATTTAATGAGTTCCTGTGCTGAGAAACTAAAGAATAAATGACGGCCCTTGCTTTCAAGGAGCTGATAAATGATTACCATATAATACAGTACACGCTTTATTAGAGGCAGGCACAAAGGACTTTTGGAATGAGGAGGGGGTGGGGATCTTGGCAAGAGTCAGATGGCTGCACAGAGGAGGCAGTTGGCACTTGGGTTTGTGAGGAAGTGTTTTACCGGGCTGAGAAAGACATGCGAAGGGAGTTAATTAGAGGAAGAAAGAAAAGCGTATGTCAAGGATTTTATAGTGTTATACACAAATAGAATAAAAATAAGAGGAGTTAATGCAAGTTTAGATCTCTGTGCCAACCATCTAATAACTTAGCTTCCCCCAACTGGAAAAAAAGGATAACAGGAAAAAATTGGGTGTAGCCAATTTTTAAAAAATCAGACTGAAAAGTTTCAAGCCTATAGATCAGTACAGAACAATATAAGAGAGGCTTGTGCCCACCACTCAGAGTGAACAGATGGTTTTGCTTTGCCACACGAGGTTCAAAACTTGCTTTTTATAGAAGGAACGTCGCACATAAGGCCAGCCTACCTTCCCCTGCTTCTCCCTTCCCCCCACCTCCTTGGACGTAATCACTGTCAATCGGAGCCTCTTTTTGGTAAACTTTTCACTTGGTTCGATCTTTCTTTCTTGTAAGCTTAGATTTGTGATTTAAAAAAATAATCCTGTGTTCTATTTCCGATAGATTTTCTAGGTGTTTGTAGCAAGATGGGTTGTGTTGGCTCAACCTGCTTGTTGCTGGAGCCAGGTGTCAGCTCAGATTTTTAATGTCATAAAAATACTGCATTTCTCTTTACTGGGAGAATCTTCTCTATTTTCTCATCCTGTAGCTTTTATTTTTCAAGTATGCGTTGTTTTGTGTCTGAGTCTTCTTTTTTTGTCGCATCCTTCCAAGCAACACCCCAGGGCAGGTCTGGGTCAGCCGGCAGGGCAGACTGGACGAACTGTGGCCAGTAGGGGAGGCCATCTGCGGGTGCCATCCCTTTTTGCAGAGTGAACAGGAGGGCAATCTTAAAAAAACAAATCCAAGACCTGAACTTAGATGCCATGTGTTTATAGCCATCACCGGGATGGAAGACAGCTGCCCAGGGCTCGGGAGAAGATGAGCCCTTCCACTGGCCACAGGGGGCCACCACGTCCTCAGAAAGCTGAGCTCCTGTTTGTCACTCCACACTTTTTTAATGTATTACATTAAAGTGCTATATACACATTGCCTTAGGATCGAGACTCCCATCTCTCCTCCCTCCTGCAAAAAACTAATTAACAAGTAATGGAAACTGACCCTACAGTCAACCCTCAGCTTTTACAATAAAGCTTCTTAGAAGAGTAGTGAACACAGGAACCCCTGCTTCCTTACTCATCACCAACTCTACGGAACCATTTTTGCAAGGGTCATCTTGGGCCTCTGTTGCTGAATGTGATGGTTAACGTTCCATTTTTGTGTCACTTGATTTCTGCAGCATTTGTCCGTGTGGGCCACTCTCTTCTGGAGATGCTTTCCTTGGCTTCTGTACAACTGTCCTTTCCTGCCTTTTCCTTTATACTGATGCACTGTGTTTTCCTGAATGTAACTTTCTTTCAGGGGCACAGTTGGGCCGTAAACAGATACAATTAATTAAAACATTAACTTTCATCAAGAAACAACAGAAAAGTAGACAATGGAATGATTCAAGATGCGTCCAATATAAGGAAGCAGCCCAGGTGACTGGCATCTGACTTTCTGAATCTCTGCTCACGGAGAAACTGACTCAGAATGAAGAGCTAAGGAACTTGACACCGATAATCACGTGCTCCTGACATTTGATTCCATTAGGAATTGGGGCCTATAAACAGCAATGTCAGCAGGTCTTTTTACCATAGATGGTGGTGCTCTTCAGTGGAAATTCATGTAAATGGCTCAGCAATCCAGACTTCACGCTGCCCCTGTGAGTGCATGGAAGTTTCTTTCATGTCTAGAGCCATAGCATTTCAATATATTTATGTTTGCCAAATTACCTGTTTTCATCAATATTGAAAATTGAGACCTTGCTATTCCCATGCGGCTCTGTACAGCCCATCTCCCCCCACCCCCTTCCCAAGTCCCCAAATCATGCCACTGCCCTGGAAATTCACGGCACCTTGTTGGGAAAATATTTCCTCAATGTCTTCCCTTCTCCTTCTTCCCTCATGAACACCTGTGTCTGTCCTGAGGACAGACGTTCCCTTGCAGACCTCTTAAGTGGCAACTGCTTTCCCTCTGTCATCGCTGGGCCTGGAGGTGAGGTAGGTGTCCTCCTTCCTTTTCATTGTTTCAGCTTCTTTCCCAGAATACCAGGGTTTAGAAACTCATGCCATCCCTCCTTGCTGCTGCCATCTCCAGACTTCCCTGCGGCACTCCCTACTAGAAAAGATCAGAACCTGGTTATCGTTACTCCTTCCAACACATAATCCTTGATGATTTCAATTCAACTCCCTTATAGAAGCACCTGCCAGCACTGGCCTCCCAGCCCCCTGACCTACTGTCCTCCACTGGTCTTGTCCCTCGTGCTACTCAGGCCACTGAGTAGCTGTGCTTTAGACCTTGTTATCACCAGTGGTCTCCATTTTGGGTGGTCCACTCTCACCGCCTGCCAGCTTTCCACCTCACTCCCTCCAGTCTACAGGCTCCGTGAAGTCTGACACCACCGCGTTTGCATTCCAGTGGTCTTAGCTCATGCCCTTGCTTCTCCCTTCCCCTGCTGCTCGGAGCTCGGGCGCAGTCGTATTGGTGTAGGGCTCTGTCCTCCAAGCACGGGGATGCTGATGACTTCTATGTTGTGTGATCCAGCGAAAAATGAACAGTCAAGTATGGCGCACTGGTGATTGTAGGTGCTGAGTCATTGAAAAAATATACTCGTATCTATAAAGTAAGCTTTTTATTTTAGAATAGTTTTAGATTTACAGAAAATGCAGGGAAGACAGGACAGAGTGCCCCCCACACCCCACAATGTTTCCCCATCTGGTAACCTCTTAGGATCCTGTGGCGCGTTTGTCACAGCTAATAAACCAATACTGACACATTATTATAACTAAAGTCCCCACTTCGTTCAGATTTCCTTAGCCTTGGTTTTCTTCCTAACGCCCTTTTCTGTCCCAGGACCCCTTGTAGGACGCTTTATGTCCAGCCATTATGTCTACTTAGGCTACGCTTGACTGGGACAATTCCTCAGACTTGTCTTGCTTTTGATGACCTGACAGCTTTGAGGAGTGCCGGTCAGGGATCATGTAGAATGTCTCTCCACGGATCTGCCTGGTGTTTTTCTCTGAAATGCATTTCGACAGGAGAGAACGTCCTTTCTGACTAGGAACGGATCTTCCAATTTTACATGAGTAATGATGGAGAGAACATTTCATAGACTTGCTCTGGCTCCGTCCGGCACAGACCTGGTTTGTCTTTCTCATTTTGCAGATTCTTCCAGTACTGGGCATCCCAGGCCTTAAGGTTCATTCCATTCTAATTGCATTCTGATTAGGCTAGAGTTCAACTAACGGACAGATTTTGGCAGTTTGGCTTGTGTGAAGAAGCAGTTAATACCAGGTGGATCTTATCTCCTCTTTTTATGAGGGCTTAGACATTTTAGGTTTATTTCTAGGGGATGAGCCTGGGCGGTTCCTGGGGAGGGGGTGCAGGCCAGGTTTACTTTTATTAACCGTTTTCTGCCTCATTATATTCTTGTGAGCAGTCTGCTAGTAGGTCTCCAGAGGATTTTGTGTGCTGAATTTACCAAAGCTTTACTCGAGCTGTACATTGCTTCACACTTAGTTTTCAGATATCTTGATATACTGGTATTCGACTAGTATTATCTACTTTTCTATTACACCCCTCCCCTCCCAAATTCTGGTTGTACAATTGTATTAGTCACTTTTTGACTATACATCATTCACATCCCTGCTGAAGTAAAACACTTTTTTCTGCCTGCTAGAAGTTCTAGCCAATCTGAAAGAGCCAGCCCAAATTTGATCTTGACTGGAAGCCTTCCCCGCTTCCTCCAAATTAATTCATCTCTTCCTCTTCAAAGCATATATCAGAAGAGCTAGAGCAAAGCACAGAGAGGGAAAAAAAATACGGAGACGACAGGAGTAAGAGATACAGAGGA